TGGGGTCACTTTTTCTAGAAATGTTTGGTAGAATCCCCCTGTGAAGCAATCTGGTCCAGGGCTTTTCTTTGTTGGGAGGTTTTTGATGACTGATTCAATTTCTTCACTTGTTATGGGTCTATTAAGATCTGGTATTTCCTCTTAAGTCAATGTAGGAAGTTTATGTGTTTCTAGGAATTTGTACAGTTCATCTAGATTTTTTAATTTGTTTGCATACAATTGTTCATAGTATTCTCTTATGATCCTTTTTATTTCTGTAGAGTCAGTTTTAATGTCTCCACTTTCATTTCTGATTTTAGATAGTTGCATCTTCTTCTTTTGTCATTCTAGCTAAAGGCTTGTTGATTTTGTTGATCTTTAAAAAAACCAACATCTGGTTTCACTGATTCTCTCTATTGTTTTCTATTCTCTATTTCATTTATCTCTGCTCTGATCTTTGTTATCGCCTTCCTTCTGCTGCCTTTTTTTTTTTGGTTTGCTCTTCTTTTTATAACTCTCAAGTTGTAAAGTTAGGCTATTGATTTGTGATTGTTCTTTTTTAAAGTAGGCATCTACAGCTATAAATTTCCCTTCTTTGTCCCTTATTTCCTCTAATACTGTCAACTTTTTTGTTTTCTTGCTTTTTTAAAATTTTTTTGGAGTGAGCCACTTTGACTTTCTTCTCCATTGCCTTTGTATTTTTTAGATATTTTATTTGTGTTTAACATGAACAATATATTTAACATCTTAACATTTATAACTCCCTGGATTAAATTGATAAAGACTTAATGTCAGTAATACACAAAAACTCTATACCTATATTGATCTTCCCCTCCCCCATTTATGTTGCTCTTATCACGAATTACATCTTTACACATTCTATTCCCTGTAACAGAAATTTATAGTTTTTATGTATTTATTGTCATAAATCATTAAGGACATAACAATTAGAATTATTAAGTAAAAATACCTTAAAGCTTGCCTTTATACTTGGCCATGCAGTTACCTTTAATGGAGATCTTTCTTTCTATGTGCAGTTTTAAGTGCTTTCTAGTGTCCTTTCTTTTCCATCTGAAGGACTCCCTTTAGCATTTCTTGTAGTGCCTGTCTGGTGGATATAATCTTTTCCAGCTTTTGTTCATCTAAGAATGTCTTAATTTTGCCCTAATTCTTGAAGAACAGTTTTGCTGAGTTTAGTATTCCTGACTGATAGTTTTTTTTTTTCCAACATTTTACGTATTCCATTGACTTCTGACCTCCAAGATTTCTGAGGAGAAATTGGCACTTAATCTTATTGGGGATCCTTTATATGTGCCAGTGATGGTTAATGTTATATGTCAACTTGGTTAGACTATGATTCTCAGTGGTTTGGCAAACACTGGACTGATTGCTCTTCTGTAATGTAATGTAATCACCTCCATGATGAGATCTGATATAATGTAATCACCTCCATGATGAGATTTGCTGTGAGCCGCCAATATGTTGAAAAGGGAGTTTCCTTGGGGGTGTGACCTACCTCTAGTATATAAATGGATGTTCCAGCAAGGCTCACTCTTGCTGTGGATTCTGCATCTGACTTGTCATCATTTGACCTTTGGTTCTTGGGACATAAGCCAGCAGCCTGCCGTCTGACCTGACAATTTTGGGTTCATCAGCCCCTGCAACCTTGTGAGTCAGGAGAAGCTTCCAGCCTGATGCCTGAGACCCATGGTTTTGGAACTTGCCAGCCTTCACAACTGCATGAGCCATTTCCTTGAATTAAATCTCTCTATATTTATATATATACATTTCACTGGTTTCACTTGCTCCTCTAAAGAACGCAGCCTAAGACAGTGCCTGTTCGTTTCTCTCACATTACTTTCAGGATTCTCTCTTTATCTTTAGTTTTTGACCTGATTACAGTGTGTCTTGTTGTGGGTCTTTTGGGGGTTTATCCTACTTGGAGTTCATTGAGTTTCTTGAATTTGTAGGTTCATGTCCTTCATCAGATTTGGAAATTTTCTGCCATTATTTCTTTATTCTGTCCCTTTCTCTTTCATCTCCTTTTAGGATTCCCATGATGTGTATGTTAGTTTGCTTGATGTTGTCCCACAATTCCATTAAGCTGAGCTCAGCAGTGCTGAGGCTCCTTCAGCCTCCATAATTTCCACTACCTTATCTTCTAGTTCACTGATTCTTTCTTCTGACTGATCAAAACTGTTGTTAAATACTTCCATTGTGTTTCTCATTTCAATTATTCTTTCAGTTCCAATATTTGTTTGGTCTCTTTTTATAATATCTTTTTTAAATTCTCATTTTGTTCATGCATTGTTTTCTTGATTTCCTTTAGTTCTTTGAGCTCATTTAATATTGTTGTATTATAGTCTTCTATTCTTTTCATTATTTGGGCTGCACAAATATGATTCTTCTCTATCTTGTTCATTTGAATGAACTATTGTTTCCATTTTTATTGTGTCTTGTGATTCTTGCTGAAGTCGGGACATTCATATTTTATAGGGTGTTACCTTTCTCCCTTTCTCAGTTTTCCCTATGTTCGGTACTTTTGACAACACTACTTTCTGGAAGAAATTCTTAGGTGGGTAGAGCCTTCAGACCTTGTTTACTGCTCCCTACCCCTCTTCATGATAGCTCCCTCTCCCTCTCTGTTTTAAGTAGGATTCAAAAAGTACAGACTGTGTATTTTGTCTTTCAGTGTCTCCCAAACACACTAATCAATTTGTCCACTAGGGGGCATAGCTAAACAGAACAGAGAACACGGACGAATCAATCTGTTTACCAGGGATGCAGTCTTCTTTCTTTGGTTATTGTTCCCTCCCCTGCTGGGCTGCATTTCTGTGACCATATTTTAAGTCAGAAAGCCCACACAAAATGAACATCTGGGAGTGCTGCATGCTGCCCTCCGTTCTTGCTGGAGCCTCCATTCCCCACTCTGTGAGGGCCCACTTATCTCCGAGCCAGAGATTGGGACAAGCACAGGCTAGCCATGGGTCAGTAGGCTTTCCATCATGATGGTGAGGGGGCTGCAGGCACAGCTTGAACAAACTCCTAGGGAGATCTGTCTTGTTAATTTCAGAGATGGAGCTAGGGGTCTTTCCCTGTGCACAGGCAGTCAGTGTATTGGTTGGTGGAGTGGGCTCTGCTGCAGGTACCACCTCTGTAGTCTGCAGCAGCTGATAGTTCATGGCTCTGGGAGTGGGAGGGGCAAGGACAGTGGAAGAAATGGTATTCCTACCATATTAGAGTCATCATTGGCTCACTGACTCATGTGTTTCTGCACGTCCCTGGTGCTGTCCTCTGCCCACAGATTCAAAGTCCCAGTGTCAAGCACAGATTTCTAGCTGTATTTCTTGGCGTATGTGTGGGAAGTGTCAGAATCTAGACCTGTTCATGCCATTTTATGTCACCTACCATTCTATTATAAAAATCCCTTTGCAACTTGAGGCAGAAGTAACAACTTTATTATATGCTTTTTGTATGATAGTCAGATAATTTATTCCTGCAAATCAATATCTTGTGCAATAGAATACATGGTCATATTTAGTAGATTTATAAAGCTTTTGGCAATTAATAAAATGTCTTAACATTTCATTACTTTTTAAGATATATCATTGGAAGAATTTAAATTGCTAGATAATGACAATCCATTTTACAGATCTAAATCAAGGGCCAAAAATTCAAATGACATTTAAACTATGTGCTAGCATGTACTGGGTATAAAAATAATATACTGCTATAATGGTATCCACATTTCAAAAGCTGATATTTACTGGCCAAGTATTCTGTTACTGATACTGTCATACAATTCCTAATTACTTACATAGTTTTTCATCCCCTTGTATTGCTCTATTAAAGATTATATTGATTTAATTCCTATTATTTTAAAAATACATTTACTTAAAAACAAGCCACAAATAAATTTATAAAAAATTTACTGTTAGAACAAAATACTCCTACTGTCGTCATTAGATTTTGGCTACTTTAATAAGAAAATTACACCTACTCCTCACTTATCGACTATCTCATTATCTGACATTTTGCATTTATGACTATAGTAAAAAATCTACTATTAGACTATTTTGCACATTAATGATGTATGTCTTGCAGAAATGAATGCCAAGGTGCAAGGTAAGAGTAATGCTGGCTGTGATGGTTATGTGTCAACTTGGCTAAGCTATGGTTCTCAGTGGTTTGGCAATTATGTAATGATGTAATTTGGCAGTTATATAATGATGTATTCTCCATTTTGTGATCTGATGTGGTCATCCTCCATTTTCGCATAATGCTGATTTTCATATAACAATCTGGTCTTTGGAACTTAACCACATTGATAAGTGAGGAGTGGGTGTAATTTCTCCGAATCTTGTTTTAATTATTTTTCTGGTTGGTAATTATACAGTCAAATGGCTTTTTTGTTTTAAATTGTGTTTTAAATGGAAGTTTACAGTACAAGTTAGTTTCTCATACAAAACTATACACACACTGCTATGTGACCCTATTTGCACTCCCCATACTGTGAGAGCACACTACTTTTTTCCACCCTGTATTTCCCGCATCCATTCAACCAGCTCCTGTCCCCTTCTGCCTTCTCATCTTACCTCCAGACAGGAGCTGCCCATTTAGACTCATGCATCTACTTGAGCTAAGAAGCAAACTCTTCACAGGTATCATTTTATGTCTTATAGTCCCATCTAATCTTTGTCTGAAGAGTTGGCTGTGGGAATGGTTTTAGTTTTGGGCTAACAGAGAGTCCAGGAGCCATGTCTTCCAGGGTCCCTCCAGTCTCAGTCTGACCATTAAGTCTGGTCTTTTTACTAGATCAAATGGCTATTTTTGAATTTACATTTTCTTTTAGTTTTTTTTTTTTTTAAATGAGTAAGATAAGCCAAGAATGTGTAGGATTTTGTAGAGTTCATTGAGTACTAGTTTTTGAAAGCTTATCTGTAATTTTATTTGGACTTACTATTCATAAACAAAATGTATTTGAATTTTCCCAGTTCAATTAATCAGAAGGCCACACATTAAAAACAGTATTTATATTTTAACAATAAAGTATATAATATGGAAATAATACACAAATGCATATAAATTAGATTATTTAAGTAAATCAGTTAAGTTGATTAGTATTTAATTGATAAATAAATAACAGAATAAACCTGAAATAACTTCTTAGTTTGATAATCCCAAGTAGAATTACTTCCTAATTATAGGATTTAGGATATAAGAGAATACACACAATTATATATCCATTCTTGTCGTTCATTCAGAGGCATTACATGTTGACAAACCTGCATATAAAAATAGAAAGCTTTTACTTTTCTTTCATGTATTGTTAATTTTGGCTAATTTTTCAATAGGACATTTCTAGACCCTGTATAAAAATAACCCTATGCAGATAAAATTCTGTAATATTTGTTCTTAGCAGGAACTGGCAATCTACAACCTGGTGTCCAAGAGGAAAATCCACTTTAAATCAGATTCTACCCTGATTTAGTGGTTGATAATTGGTGTGTGTGAATGTGTGTAAAGATGAGCGGTGAAAAAGGGAGTAAATACCTTTCTTCCTTGTTAAGGCTAGAGCATTTTCTAACATCCTAATTGGGAAAACATAAAAGATAATCTTTCTTTATCCTGTTCTAGAATATTTTGAATTTCATGAGCAGTATGGGAAAAAAAAGGGCAAGAAGAGAAAGCTTTTTTCCTTTTCCCCCTCTGTAGACCAGATTCAGGGTCCCTGCCTTTGAATTCCTAGCTAAATTCCTGGCTCTTGACTTAGTTGGTTATCTAAAACTCAGAAGCATTTTTCTCTCTTGGGTTACCTTAGAAAATCTTAATAATGTTGTTACTGCATGCTGTCAAGTTGATTCTGATTCATAACAACCTTACATGACAGAGTAGAACTGCCCCATAGGGTTTCCTAGGCTGTAATCTTTATGGGAGCAGATTGCCAAGTCTTTTCTCCTGTGGAGTGGTTGATGGGTTCAAATCTCCAACCTTTAGGTAAGCAACTGAGTGCTTAACCATTGTGCCACCAGGGCTCCTCTTACTAATGCAGATAAAAATAATTTGAATTATCAAAATTCCTACTACTATTAACACTTTGTATTTCTATATGATGTTCAAAATGCTTTCATGTACATCATCTTATTTTTATCTTTACATTAACCTTGTAAAGTACATAAAACTAGTGATAGTATCTTAATTTTACATTTAAAGAAACTGGACCAGAGAGGTTAAGTGAATTTCCCATAGTCACTCAACCAAATCGTGACAAAACTGGATTAGAACCAAAGTCTCCTGTCTGCTAGTATAGGATGATACTAATATGAATATCATTAGAGGTACAGATAATTACCCTTAAAATAGTTTTCCACTTCATTTCATACCTACATGTTTATTCATAGCAAAATAGCAAAAATATTTTTTCAAAGATAAAAACAGAAGGCTTTAATTAGAAAATAATGCATTACCATTGTAGATTTTGGTGCCACTTCTACTGCAAATATGTTGAGTCCTCTGTTGTTTATGCAGTTTTTACTTAGCTCATTGTTGATGTGAATAATCACTTTATTTTCTGACTATAAAAAAAATTTCCATAAGTTGCTAGTCCTTACTTTAATACAGACAGATATAAACTTCAGAGTAAGTCCTGAAATTCTATTTTAATATCATGGGGTTCTCTACAAATTTGTAACACAAACAAACTGGCTCCTTCTCTCAACTTTGTAGTTTTTCTCATTAATTCTACTTCCAATCTGTTACCAATTATATAAATTTTTCCTTTTATATGTCACTTGGATTCACCTTTTAATATTTATTCCCAGGCCATTATTGTTACTAGGACCGTACTATCTCATCCCTGGCTCACTACAGCAACAGTCTTTATTTCTTTTAATCTATCTCTAGCTTTTCCAACCTCTAATCATCCTGCATACTACTCTTCAACTAACATGCCAAAAATCCCTTTAATTGTGTTATTTGTTTATTCATTCATTCTTTAAACATAAATTTATTTAGTACCAACTGTATGTCAGGCACTGATCTAAGCTCTAGGGACACTGAGATAAAAGATACAATTCCTGACCACAAGGAGCTAGCTCACAGTCTAGGGGAGACAGACAAATAAAATGACAATTACAAAATACTTTGTGAAGTCCTGTGATAGAGGTATTCTCAGGATTCTACAGAAGCACAGAAGAAGGTCATTAACTCAGAATGGGGTATCAAAGAAGACTTTATGGAAGAGGTGACACTTAAGATGACAGGACGGATAGGAAGCAAGAGAAATCAGAATGAAGCTGATAAATGGGTGAAATGCAGGAATCAAAATACTCCCCTGCTAATGAACCTGTAATTACACTCTAATGACTACAAAAAAAAAAAAAAAACAAGAAAACTAACAATAAAAACCCTGTTGCCATCATAGCTACACTATAGGACAAAGTAGAAATGCCCCCCATAGAGTTTCCAAGGAGTGCCTGGTGGATTTGAGCTGCCGACCTCTTGGTGAGCAGCTGTAGCTCTTAACCACTACACCACCAGGAATGTTAGACTACATGGATTCATTTCTCAGCTACTACTTACCTGTGTGACCTTTTGTAAGCCATTTAATCTCCCTGTGCTTCAGTTTCCTTGTCTGTAAAACAGGATAGGAGCCCTGGTGGCACAGTGGTTAGGAGCTACGGCTGCTAACCAAAAGGTTGGCAGTTCAATTCCACCAGTTGCTCCTTGGAAACCCTATGGGGCAATTCTACTCTGTCCTATAGGATCACTATGAGTCAAAATTGACTTGATGGCACACAACAACAACAGCAAACATACCTCATAGGGTTGTTGTGAGAAATAAATGGGTTAATATATATAAAGTGCCTGGCACATGGTAAGCTATAAACTGTTAGTATTATTACCACCTTTTGGTGAAGGGAAGTTTTAATTTTCCTGTAACCTTGACGGGGAGGAGAAAAGTGGAGGGTTGAGAAATGATAGGTAATAACAGAGCAGAAGGGTTGGGGTAAAGGTAGTGACTCTCTTTCACCCTTTAAATCCTAATAAATACAGAGAGCAGAAAGGGGAACATGCTGGACCTTGAGGAACTTGCGCAGCCTAGGCTTTATGATCCATTTGAAGATCACAATCCACTACTTGTGGACCCGAGCCCATTTCATCAAGTCCAAACTCCTCTATCTCATTTTCAGGATAACATATATAATCTGGATCTATGTTACTATACCTTCCTAATACTCCTACAAATAAAGCTCTCTGCTTCTGCAAAGCAGATACTCTCACTCTTTCCTCTGTATTTCATATCAACTCTTTCCCATGTCCTTTCTTATACTGTTTCCCCTACTTCTATAGGCTGTCTTTCTGCATACTTAAATCCATGTCATCCTTCCACACTACAGTCCTCTTCCTTCTCGTTACAAATCCTTCCCTAACTTCTATAGTCCAGACTAACGTCAACTATAAGAGGTAGAAACACAATAAAACTTTGGTTATACACACAAATAGTAACATGTAATTTAACATTTAATCATTCTCTGATCTCTTTCAAGAATATTAAATTTGTCTTTCCAACTAGCCCATAAACTCCCTGAAATCAGAAATCAGGTATTACACTTTCTGGTGGACCCGATTATGACTAGGAGAGTTAGTTACATAATATATAACTCAAATTGACACAACAGTCAGCTAAACCTTAAATTTCAGGCATACATGAATATAAAAGTCTCACCCAGAAGCTAAAAGAAATAAGCCAACAGTCATCCTGTGTAAGGTTTTATAAAAATTTGTAATTTCTAGAGAACTAGGTATCTCCTACTTTTTAAGTGTTTATGCATGTGTTCTCTTGACTTGTAATATTAATAGTAGCAGAGAAGATGGCCAAAGCTAGAAATAATTGACTTGATAAAAGTAGGTCCTGGACAGTGGAACATATCTAACCACATAAAATGATGGTAGTCTATAGGATTTCTGATATTGCAAAGTTGGTGTAAAAAGTTGTGCTATATTTTTTTATTTTGTTTATAATATTTCTTTAAAACACAATGTCTATTACTTGAAATAGTTATACAAATGTGAACTAACTAAAATACTTTGTATCCAGATTATACTCTAACTTCACAGATCTCCAAATATTTAATTTCCGCAAAAATTTTAAAAGAAAAACAATTATTGCAAGTCTCTAAAAATCATATGTAAAAAGTATCATGTGTAGTTTGAATTAGAAACCTGAGGAGGAGAAAGAATAATTGCCTATTATAAACATCATTAGTGAAATGGGATATTTAATTACTAGGCAAGAACAGAGTAAGAAAGAAGATGGAACATGTTGGTAAACATCAGAGAAATATGGAGAACCACTTCATAATTGATACCTTGTTTTCAATAACTGATGTTATCCAGGTGTCACATTTGTAAGTATGTACAATTATATTTTCAGAGCCATCCATTACTTTGGCATCACCTTTATTAAGGACAGATTTACAAATGGCCTTTTCAAGTTGCCCACTGCATGCCTCCATATGGACAGCTTTAATTCTTGGCTTGCATTTTTCTGCGTAGGTACTGATGACAAATGGGCATGCCTGATATGGAAGAAAAAGGAAACCTTATTTAAAGCTTTTAGTAGAATTTAAAATAATTTAATTTATTATTAATATGTTTATCATATGATTTAAGAAGATGCACTGCACCTTCTAGCTTGTCCTTCTGATTAACTTTTAGAGGAAAATTTTACTACTATGAATTAAGTAATAAGAAACAAGAAATTCTATTTCAAATTCTCGTGGAATCCAGATTTTCTGGAGTCATGAAGCCTGGATGAACTCCCCAAAACTATTGCCCTAAGATAATCTTTAAACCTTACACCAAAAATATCCTCTGAAGTCTTCTTAAAACCAAATAATAGTTTAGCTTAACTAGTAATGAATGTTTGCCTTCAGTATCATGTTCTTTTAAGAACTAAGTATATGGGATCAAATTGACAACAGCAACTTGAAAAATTAGATAGGAACCTTAGGGCACAGTGAGTTTATGTTAATGGAGGAAGAACAACTCAGAAAAGGAGGGTGAGAATGGTTACACAACTCCAAGAATATAATCAATGTCACTGAATTGTACTTGTAGAAACAGTTGAATTGGTGTATGATTTGCTATGTATATTCTCAACAACAACAACAAAATAAAATATTTTAAAAAACAATGAAATTCTGACTTTTGGTTAGAGATTAACTGATTATATTCATAGAAAATGGAAGAAAACTAGTATCTCCTTCAATAATACTGTACCATCCCTCCATTTCGGTCAAAGCTAACTAATGCCATGTTAGTTATTTAATTTCCTTTTCTAATTTTAATGCTACAGAAAGCATCAAAGTGCTCTGAAGAGCATAATTATGTTTATAACTGAAATTTAATGAGTATATATAGAGCACCAAAAAGAACTAAACGTAGGAAGATAAATTCACAATTCAAAGTTAGCATAAAAATAACCTTTAAAATCTATGATCTAAAAAGATTTTCAGCATCTGGAATAGATCTTTCTAATGCCTACCTTTTAGTCTTTACTACAGCCTACAAGACGCTGCATGCTGCAGCCTTTGCTTTTCTATCCAACCCAAGGTCCTATCTCACCATGCTCCAGCTAAACTGATCTTTTGGATCCTAGAACAAATGAAGTTCTTTCCTATGTCAGGGCCTTCATATGTAGTGTTCTCTCTTCTTGGAAGACTCTTTTCACATAGCTACCTCCTCCTCCTTCAGGTTAAAGCTTAAGTGTCACCTCTGCAGAGAGATCTGCTCTAGCCTCCCAATCTCCCTCACCACCCACTGTTCTCTACTGCAGTCACTGGTTTGTTTCCTTCCAAACACTTCTGAGATGATTTTATTTGCTTTTATTTTTTATTATTTTTTATTCATTCTCCTTCATGAAATGTAAATTCCATGAAGGCAGGAATTTTAAAAATTTTCTTCATCTTCATATCCTCAGTGCCTCTTAGAGGCCTATCACATAATAGGCATTCAACAAGTATTTGTTGAATAAATGAATGAATTCACACACACTGATGGTCATCTTTTTATTTGAGGGACAAAAGGTAAAAATTTTCAGTTAATTTAGCAGAACATCAACAGATTTTTTTTTTTTAAAGTTAAAATATTTTAATGACTCCAACCTTCCACAATAATAAAGTCATCTTTTTCAGAGAGAGAGTAAAATGAAAAATCATTGGACTAGAAAGCAGAAGATCTGGGTTTGTTAATTGCATTTTGCCATTTACTGGCTATGTGACCCAGGGGAAGCCACTTAACCTCTATGAAGCTTAGTTTCTTCATTGAGAAGGTGGATATAAATAGTATATATCCTGTCAAGGGCTGTTGGAAATATCTAATACAGTGATGTGTGTGAAAATATTTTACAATGTAGAACTCTAAAAAAAATGATTATTTGTAATAATTATAATGATTGTGGCAATTTTAAAGGTTTATCTTTTTAGTACTGAATAGATATGTTAATATTTTGCCAGTTTTCAGGTTATCAGTTTTATTCAACCAAAGAGTATCAATATTTAAGGATTCACTGAAAGGAAAACATCTTAATAGGTCCTTGTTAAAGACATGTTCTCTAAAAATTAAAAAATAAAACCTTATCTACTCTAAGAAAGTTACACTTTAAGTTTTATTATTTTTTCTGTTCATGGGCTTGAGTTTTATTTACTTATTCTCTTTAGCCTACTAAATTAATATAGGAAGCATACAAAAACCAAGAAAACTATTAACTGTAAATTATTAATTATAAAAGTATTAATAATACATAAGTAATAAGTAAGAATGGGGGAGAAAAGCATAATAAAACCTGGATTGTGGGATACTACTTAAATTTAGACAAAATTTGGCTGTTATTTGTTAGTCAAGACAAAAGCATGTTATATAGCTCTCTAAAAAATCTTAAAAAATAAATTTTTCCCACTTCTGAATTCTAAAGGAATTTATACCATGAAACTCTCTTTAAAAAAGAAAGCATAAAGAAAAAAAAGAAAATTTAAACATGTTTCACTTATCATCATTCAATAAAAAACCAAAAATATTACTCCAAGGTGGTATAAGGACAATGCCCTTGATAACAAGAGCAATAAACAAGTTATGTTGCTCTTTGACAGAGGATCTGCCTTTATATATTGATAGACAGAATGTATAATGTACAGCTCTAAAATCTAAATCAGAGAATTTAATTAGAAAAAATAAAATAAAAATTGTTGTGCCAGACTGTGGAGGGAAAAAATAATAAAAGACAAATAGAGAGTGTATAATTGAGAGTGTAAAGTAAATTGTAGGAAGAATAAAATAAAATGAACTTTATTTGGCCTTGGTTTACTAAAACCACTCAAATAATGAGATCTCCAACAATTCTAAATCCTTTCCTAAGTCCTAACCTGCAACTAATACTTTGGTTATTCTTTGTGATGCAATTCCCGCCAATTTAATAGGTAGGATCTACTTCTACACAAGATTTACTACAGTTATTACATGTGATCAAATTACAGCTCATCTAGACATTAGATTCTTCTTGTCGTTAGTTGCCATCGACTTGATTCCAACTCATCGGGTGACCCCATGTGTGTAGAGCAGAACTGCTCCATGGGGTTTTCAAGGCTGTGTGACCTTTCAGAAGCAGATCGCCAGGCCTGTCTTCTTAGGTGCCTCTGGGTGGGTTCAAACCACCAAACTTTTGTCTAGTAGTCGAGTGCTTAACTGTTTGTGCCACCCAGGGACTCTACACAGTAGATTACTTACCTTATATATGATTCACGAAATTACCAAAGAAATAGCTATGCTTCCGGAATTTCTATGGGCAAGACTCTATAGGTAACAAACCAAACCTGTTACCGTCGAGTCGATTTCGACCCATAGTGACACTAGAGGATGGAGTAGAACTGCCCCATAGGGTTTCCAAGGAATGGCTGGTGGATTTGAACTGCTGACCTTTTGGTTAGCGGCCGTATCACTTAACCACTGCACCACCAGGGCTCCAAAAGACTCTACAGACGTATTCAAATCAATTAGAACAGAGCTCATAAGTTTCCAAATTGATCCTTCTTAGATTATCACAAACCTTTCTTTTTTTTACAAACATGAAAATGTTTGGCCATGCTCTAGGTGTATTAACTCAACAACATGGCTGACATCAAAGAACCATTGCCTATTAAATCCTATCCCTTAATTTATTAGCCAAAAGTTACTCCTTACCTCAGAGCAATAACAAGCATCAAGTAAATCAGTTCAAAACATCTTCAGATCTTATATGAATCCTTTAAATCAAATGTTACTATGTGTATAACTTCTTATCTCTAATGAAAACCACTCAACATTTTTATACTAGTTGATTAACTAATTATGAATTGTTACTTTCTCCTTCATGTTTGTATTACCATCTGATGGGATAACGTTCTGAATCCCAAAACTCTATAACTCTTACTGAATAAGGAGAATTTCCTCAGGTGATTCTGTAAATCAAGAAATGTCCACACCCAAAACAGAATTTTTGGATGTTCCAATACCAAATCTTGATTTAATATTGTTTGTTGATGAGTCTTACATTAAAAAAAATTAAAACGACAATATCAAGCTTGATATACAATAAGTAGCCCAATCTCTTTTGTAAAATTTAATTCCTTATCAGAAGCCAAATAGATCAAACGACTCAACTGTAGCCCTCTCTCGTTTCTAAAATAAAAGTAAAATATATAAACTAATAGCTAGTGTGCTTTTAGAACAATTGACCTTTTTTAAAAGCTATAGAAAACAAAGTTCTTTTTTTTTAAAAAGGTACCTTTTAGAAATGAACAACAGATGCATTAATTATTTGATTCCTAAAATAACTGCTATTATAAAGGTAGAGACTCAAAGTAAAAGGGATACTAAAAGAAGCTAATGTACTAACCTATAAATATTGTAGAAATACTATAGAAGTATTATAGAAACATTTTAGAAATACTATAGGAATACTTCAACAAATCGTTATGCTAAACAGACTACTCTGACTAAAAGCCAAAAAAACCCAAACCCACTGCCATCGAGTCGATTCCGACTCATAGTGATCCTACGGGACAGAGTAGAACTGCCCCATAGTGTTTCCAAGGAGTGGCTGGTAGATTCCAACTGCTGACCTTTTGGTTAGCAGCCAAGCTCTTAACCACTGTGCTACCAAGGCTCCACTCTGACTAAACTCCTTATATAAGGATCTTATATAAAATAACAAGAAATAAAATCCACGGAGGGTTGCAAGGATTCTATCGTAGCTGCACAAAATGTAGCCTGCCAAATTCTGATTAAAAAAAAAAGAAACCCAAAACACTGGGAATGGTTGAGTTGTAAGAACCATGAGGATAAGATCAGGCAAAACTGGTACAGCCACCTGGACACTAGATAAATATCCTCCATGAAACAACTCATTCCAATAGGGACAAATTGGCTACATTATTAAAAACTGAGGAAAAGCTTTTCTAGGATAACAAAGGATATAGCCAGGATATAGCTTTATCTATCACTAAATTAACCTGAAAAATTGTAAAGGTGGAACATGGACTGAGACCATGCTCTAAAAGATCCTATGAGCATTTCCAAATTTATCTTATATAGCTGCCTTTCTTACAGTTTATGAATGCAGTAATTATAAATAATACATTTATTTTCAGGATGGGTTAAAACATTTTCCTATTGAAAAGCCACAACCATCATGATGGTCTCGACATTACAACTTACTGATACAGTGATGGGGCACATTTAACTGGAACAATTACTATTCATGAATTTGGATTATGTAAGGCTTTGTTCCTTACTAAAAAACATTTTTGTCTTATCACTCCCAAACCTCTAGAAAAATGAAAAGGGCCTTGACAGAGTTGGAAAGTTATACCCTTTAGAAATCCAGAGAACCTCCAGAAGCAGACAGTCCTCAGAGGCTGACTGCTAATCCAAGAACCCTGAAACAAGTGCATGACCATAAGAAGTAGAAAGCTTCTACTCAAGACCACTGGACAGAATTCTTCTATATGTTACCTTCTTCTTTGCATGATCTTTTTATTCACAGTTTTCTTCTTTACTGACTTGGTCTATCATGTTCCCCTTATTAGTAATTATGACTTGCCTAAGTTTAGGCTTTAAGGAAAATGTCCTTGCACTACACGAATGCAAAATGCAACACTTGCTATTTGTCACAACACCCAGAGACAATACACCTACAGTTCCTCTAAGCATGATTACATCCCTTGTGCAGCTCCTATGTGAAAGTAAGACTCTTTAATGCCAACTCAGAAAGAAGATTAATTATTCTGCAAAGCTATTAGTTAGACCATTCCAAGAGTATGACTCCTCAACACCCTTAACGGGTTATATGCCCTTACATACAATCCAAAACACTAACAACCTTTCTGGAAAAACGCTCCTGAAGATAGTGAAGCCATCCATCGGTGTTCTACTCCAGGTGGTCATCACAAAAATGTTCCCTCATGTTGGCTAACATAGCAAATAATATAGCCTAAGCCCTGGTGGCACAACAAACCAGTTTAAATTCTTTAATGCAAGCAGTTATGGATAACAAAAAAGCCTTTGATTTTCTTTTGGCCAACGAGAAGGGACTCTGCACCAATGCTAATACTTGTTAATTTGTACTTGGATTAACACTACAAGTAAAACAATCTACAGCTATCTAAAAGACCTAACTACAAAAAGCTGGTTTTCTTGGTCACGCCTGTAAAAGCTTGGGTCATGATTCTACAGTGCCCTCCAGCTCCTTTTTTATGATACTTCTAGTTATACTTCTCTGTCTTAGAGCTTTTTGACATCTGTTGTTCAGAGTCTTAAAATGCTTCTGAATGGTCACTGTCCCAATAGATGATTCAACATAATTCAAAGACAAAAACAGGATAAAATCATGCTGATCAATGCCAAAATTGAAAATCAGATCTCGGAAGAAACCACTTCTTCAAAGAGATCAACAACAATGGTAGAGTAAATCTTTGATAGTTTCTCCTATAGCTTTAGCTGAGTGAAAACCAAAAGGGGAGATTAAGGATAAAAAAGTTCTCACAAATTTAGGAAAAGACTGATTATTCTGTTGTCACGGTAATAAGTAGCTGCCAGAACTGGTTCTAAACCTGTTCAATCAATCAGCAACAACTCACCTCAATAAACACACTTTCGAAAGCCATGCAGTGTCAGTGCCTCACCTCTGAAAATCATGCAATCAGGGACGGGCTCAATTCAATAAATATACCTCTGAGTACCAAACAATCAACAGTTTTACCCAAGTAACTACGCTTCCCCATGTGCTGTCAACCCATTTACGCCTCTAAAAATCAGCTAATCCCTAAACTCCACGGTTCCCCCAAACCCCATATAAGATAAGCATTATGCTCTCCATGAAGAGACTGTGCCTGACCAGCATAACTCCCCCTTACTATAGTAAGCAACATATTAACCTTTGTCATTTTATTTATTAGTGGTAGTCTCATCATCCTGATACTTTTCACTGTATACATATTTTTACCTTTGAATTTTAACTGATGTGAATATATTACCTATTCGATAAGCAAACGAATAAAATTTAAATTAAATAAAAGAGTTTGATCTCAGAAACCCTTCCAGCCTATGTCTTCAAAGGTCAATGACATCAATAAATGCTATAAAAAGTCTTAATTGCTCTTAACTAATTTCTCTATTAACTGAAAGCATGCGTAACAGAATAAATATCGTTCATAGATCAGATCACAATGGTTAAAATGTAGGAATTCACTGAATGTTAGGTTAAAGTCAGATGTAAAAAGTTACTGTAACTATTCACCTTTTACTAAAAATGACAAAAAATTACAGAAAACTTCCCAGAAAATAGGTTTATGAGGGATTTTGAATGACACCAAAACGAGGAGTTAAACCAAAGTCTCAGGACATCCAAAATTTGTCAATGCTAATGCTACCCTCATAAACTGATTAGTTTACGGAAAAGGCCAGATACTATTTTTAAGACTATAAATATACTTATTGTTATCTAAGTGTGGCCTGAAACTGAAACTCTTAAATTCTATATTTTAACCCTGACACAGAATAATAGAATTTAACAGACAAGGCCTAATTTTTGTTACCCTTCTAGTTTATTGCAAGTCTTGTTCAACTTCTATGCCTATCTCATTAATAATATTAATGATAGCTAACACATACGTAATGCTTTCTATCAGCCAGTTCCAAGTGTTTTATAAATATTAACCCAAGAAGTATCCTTTAAAAAAAATTAGAATTCCAAGTTCTCACATAGACTTACTGCCCTTATTCTAAGAGAGCCCTATTCTGTTAGGACAAAGAGTTTCCCTATAGAAATGAAATTTTAGCAACTCAAATAGCCATCTCCAATTAAACAGTATAATATTTTAAATTACCTTTTTTTCCCTATATGTCATATGCTCAAACTCCTTTGTCCGTGAATTATTTAAATGTTGGCAGTAACTAAATTTCTAGTAAGAAAAGGAACTTACATAAAGTAGTAGAAATATGCTGCTGTATTGAGGATTCATTCATTTACTGAAGTTCAAGGATTTGATTGCCCAATTCAAAACTATGCATCAGGAAAATATTTATGGGGTAAAATATTATGTAAATTAAACTCAATGGCAAAATTTTAAGATTGTTTTACCTCTGTCAACTCTAGAGCTTTATTGTAGCCCATCGAGTGTAGAGTTACCCACAGATCACTAGGATCTCCTTCTCGATCATTGGCTTCCATTAGATTTAGATCCATAAATCCCTGTCTTGTTAGTTCATTCTTCTTTGTATCAAAATTCTCTGTTAAAACAACCAAAATTTTCTTTCTTAAACAATTAAAACACTTAATAAAATTCTTATTATATATTATTATTTATAAATATTAATCTGAATTGTCTAAAAGCAGAATAAGAACAGCTTAAACCATGCTTAAGGGATATTCTTCTAATTTCCCTAAACTCAGCACAGGCACTGTCACAGTACATGATTTAGTTTTTCAACAAATTCTGAAGTTATAAATAGTGCAAATATATTCCAAAATTAGAGGAAATTGCAGTTTTTCTGGGCAAATTCCAGCCTACCTGCTCATTTAGAGTAGATACTAATATATATTTCAAAACATTAAAATGTTTCATATATATATGCCACTTAAACCCAGCAGAACCTGATTGAATTTGATGTAAGCCTCAAGCTACTGGTGTTTTAGAAAGGGAGATGAGGATGGTGCCTTATTCTACCAATTGTAATCAAATTGTCCCCTGGTCCCTGAAAGACTGTTAGATAATTGCGAACACTCTGGAGTCCATGAATTAACTTACATTTTCCTAGGCAAGTCTAAGTATGCCCATGTTAACAATATTTGTGAAGAAAACTAAATCTGCCTAGAAATATCTAGCTATGTCTAATTCCTAAATTTGTCTATCCATAGATAATAAACAGCTATTTATTATGGACTGTATTCTTTTAACTGTCCTACAACAAGAAAAATTTTATTTTCCAGCTCCCATCTGTAACATATCCAAGGGAAATGGATACTCTTACTTGAAATAACATCTCTTTTGTAAGCTTTATTGTGAGAAAAGCAGTGAAGACATATAACTGTTTAAAACTGGCTGAGTGATTAATAGTTTAAAATGTTTGGAAAGTGACTCATAACTTTTACAGGGAAAAAAATTATTTGTAGATTAAATTCAATCATAGAGAGAAGCGGTAGCTACTAAAATGGAAATTGGAGCTACTATGCAGTAAAACAAGGAGCCCTGGTACCACAGTGGTTTAAGCTCTTGACTGCTAACAAAAAGGTTGGTGGTTTAAACTCACCAGCTGCTCCACCAGCAGAAAGATGTGGCAGCCTACTTCCATAAAAACTACAGCCTTAGAAACCCTATAGGGCAGTTTTACTCTGTCCTATAGGGTCGCTATGAGTTGGAATCGACTAGAACAGCAACAGGTTTGGTTTTTTGGTTTTACAGGGTTGCTATGAGTCAGAATCGACTCCATTGTAGTGGGTATGTAGTAAAAGAAGATTTAAAAATATTTGATAAAATACAAACAAAATACTATTTTAAAGAAAAACCTATTTAGATACTGTAGTATAGGGACTCACAATAACTAATCTACTTTTAAATTAGTAATCTTCATTAATTTTTTAAAAGTTTATTAAAATTATCTTACAGATAAATAATACTGGGAAAGGAAGAGTAAAATTAGTATTACATATGACAACAAAGATAAACATTTCAGAACCTAAAAAGCCCCTGTTTTTTTAGCAGTATTATTAACATTGGTGACAGAGACATTTCCCCTAAATCATTTTTTAAGTCAATCATTCTTGGAATTTTTTGACAGCACAGAGGTTAAAGTTCTGGTGTGAAATCCAGTTGTGTAACTTTCTTGTTGTGTAACATTGGTCAAGTTACTTAACTTTTTGATTCTACAAGAATAACAGTACTTACCTCATAGCATCTGATATATGGTAAGCTCTCAAAAAATGTTAACTATTGATTCTGATAATCTAATTACTTTATTAAACTATAATTTTACTTATCAACAACTTTACTGTAACAAAATCCTAATTATGATTCACTCTTATGGACTGTGCTCTAGTGCCAACAAATAGAGAATTAAAAGATTATATCATCAAAGTTATAAGATTATTACATCTTCCTATAAATAATACTTTTATGTGTATTACCAATCTTATTAATCAAATTTTAATATTATTAATCAACATTTCCTGTCATTGATTATACTATTTAAACTTTCAGTTAAAAATAGGTATATTTAGAAAAAAAACTTTACATTATAATATTATTTTTCTCCCCTACTTACTGTTTAGATAAACAGATTCACCAGAGCCCCACCTGGCTTAATGATGTTGTCATGTTTAAACTGTTTTAAGAACCAGAGGAGTAGGATACACTACTATCCAGGTGATGGCATACTGAAGATGAGTTCATCTCTCTCCTGCCTGTAATCTGGCCTCCTCATACTTCTTATTCTGTGACCTATGATTGCCTATGGCTTTCTGGATTCTCCCTTTGACTTTCCAGTCTTTGGATTAAATAAATACAAGCTTCACCCTCTTCCCAGACTCCGCCTCAGTGACAATTGTGTTTGTCTCATTCTCAGTGTTACTCTGCCCGTCTTGGTATTTTTGGCTTCCACACCTCAGTGGGCAAACTTTCTTAATTCAACTCAAATACAACAAGCATTAAAGAATTCTAAACATGCATAAACAACTTCTTGGAAATCTACTCTTGACTACAACTTTAGCTACTTAGCTCTTTGCTACCCTCCCCTGGCCAGTTTGTGGCTCTTGACCACTACTGTCCCAGTGGTATCAAGAGCTAGGGTGATTTTTTTTTTACCTTCTAAGCCCCAAAAAACATAGGCCAAAAGTTGAAATTACATTTAAGTAATTCATTTTTCTTTTAACTTGAGTGCTACGTACATCGATTGTCAGCTAAAGGATAATTAAAAGTTAAGTCTTCATGGTCTACAAACAATGATACCTGTTGCTGTCAAGTCAATTCCGACTCATAGTGACCCTATAGGACAAAGTAGAACTGCCCCATAGAGTTTCCAAGGAGTGCCTGGTGGATTCAAACTGCCGACCTTTTGGTTAGCAGCTGTAGCACTTAACTGGTAGGCCACCAGGGTTTCCAAACAATGATACTATGTTTTAATCTGTCCTAAATGATACAATATTCCATGGAGGAAAAGTCTGACATCTTATTTCTTAGGGAGAAAAAAGTGCTATATACTGACTTTATTACATATCCATTAAGACGAAGAAAAGTGCTTACCTCTGCAGACAGTCCAAGCATCTTCATCACATTTCTCACCACTTGTTCTCAATTCAAAAAAATTATATTCTTCAATGCTAAGAAGACCATTTCCATCTAAATCAATAACTTCAAATATATCTGATAGAGTTGACCTAAAATTTTAAAATGAAAATTATTTCTTATCTCTAAGGCAACTAGACTGAATAAAGTCTCTATGAGGATAATATCGAAAAGGAAGTTATATCAAAGACATTAGACAACTTTGTGAACTATAAAATTAATGAATCCAAATGCATGTTCACTCAGTCTACTATTCTATGAGATAAAGCCTCTTCGAAAACATCCATAGTTATATCAACACATAGTAGGAAACTAGTGAATACTAGGTTCCCTTCTTTTTTACTTTCTCTAATCTACTTTCTTCTTCCTCTCTACCTGTAGACAAATCTTATTGTCTATATCTGGAAGAACTACCTAAGTTTTTGGATTTCATATTTGACAGTTATCTAAGTCAACAGTGCAACTAACAGGGTCTATTTCTAGGGTAGTGTCTAGTGAGGGAGAAGTTGGTAGATATGTAACTAAAGTTGACTTGCCAGATGTGTGGAACCTAGAAATGAAGGACAACCCCAGGCCTGTGAATGGAACGCCACTTTTAGATGCCTAATGAATGAGTTGAGTTGTTGAGTTAGAATCAGGGGGTAGGTGTGGAGGTTGGCCAAAGGAAAGAGAGGGGAGACAGGCTCCTGATATATATCCAGTCTAGATGTTATGGTTCTAAAAACTTACCTAAATTCCTTTGTAAGAAATAATTCCCCCATTTCATCTCTATATACAAGTTGGGCTTCTTCTATTACTGGCTTTATTTCTTTCTTCAGCTTACAGCCAGTAGTGGAAGGAATTAACCAGTACATTCCAGGTTCTAGTTCACCAGTCCACCCAAACACCTTTTCTCAAAAGAATTCAAAACAAAACAAATCAAACAAATAAAAACAAAAAAAAAACCATGAGTGTTAGTGACTCTTAATGTTTCTTTTGAAAGGGACACATTAGAAACAAATTTTTTAATCAAAATTGACCAATTCTATTATAGTTCAAATGAAATATAGACATTATTGAACAATATAATTAATATCACATGCTAGCAAAAATCTCCTGAAGATAATTCAAAAACAACTGCAGCCATACAGCAACAGGGAGAGGCCAGAAGTTCAAGCTGGATTCAGAAGAAGTCCTGGAACAAAGGATATCATTGCTGCTGTAGATGGATATTGGCTGAAAGAGAATACTAGAAAGACGTTTACTTGTGTTTTATCAACTATCCAAAGGCATCTGACTGTGTGCATCATAACAAGTTATGAATAACATTACAAAGAATGGGAATTCCAGAACACTTCACTGTATTCATGGGGGACCTATACATGGATCAAGAGGCAGTTGTTCGAACAGAATAAGGGGATACTGCATGGTTCAAAACTGGAAAAGGTGTGTGGCAGGGTTGTATCCATTCACATTATTTATTTAATCTGTAGGCTGAACAAATAATCTGAGAAGCTGGACTATATGAAGATGATTGTGACATCAGGATTGGAGGAAGATTCATTAACAACCTGCAATAAGCAAATGATGCAACCTTGCTTGCCGAAAACGAAGACGACTTGAAGCACTTACTGATGGTCAAAGACTATAGCTTTCAATGCTGCTAATTACTTCCATGAACAACTGCCTCCTTTACCATGAAACCAGATGAACTAAATGGTGCCTGGCTACTATTACTGAATGTTTTGATCAAAGAGTCTATAGAAGAATCTTGATCAAAAGGAGGCAAAATGTGGAAGAGAATTTCAAAAGCTCATAAAGTCCAGACTTCCTGGAGCCACTGAAGCTGGATGACCCCCTGAAACTACTGACCTGAGATAATCCTTTAACCTTAAACCAAAACTATCCCTCTGAGGTCATCTTTAAACCAAACAATAGTTTAGCTTAACTTGTAAAGAATTTCTGCCTTGAGCACTAGGCTCTTTTAAAGACTATCTATGTTGTATATGGGAGTGAATTGACAATAGCAACTCAAAAGATTAGATAGGAAACTTAGGGGCAATGAGTTTATGTTAAGGGGAAGGAACAATTTACTAAAGGAGGGTGAGAATGGTTGTACAACCTGAAGAATGTAATCAATATCACTGAAGTGTACGTGTAGAAACTGTTGAACTGGTGTATGTTCTGCTGTGTATATTCTCAGTGACAACAACAACAAATTAAAAAAAAAAACTACGGCCTTCAGTATGGATTATGACTGAATGTGAAGAAAACACAAATCCTCACAACTAGACTGATAAACAACATCATGATAAATGGAGATAAAATTGAAGTTGTTAAGAATTTCATTCTACTTGAATCAACAATGTCCATGGAAGCAGCAGTCAAGAAACCGAATGACATATTGCATTGGCCAAATCTGCTGCAGAAGACCTCTTTAAAGTTTTCAAAAGCAAAGATGCCACTGTAATGACTAAGGTGGTCTTTTCAATTGCCTTATGTACGTGGGAAAGTTGGATAAGGAAAAACAAGACAGAAGAAGATCTGATGTGTTTGAACTGTGGTGTTTGTGAAGAATATTAAATATACCAAGGACTGCCAAAAGAATGAACAAATTACTCATAGCAGAAATTTGAAGCAAGGATGGTAAGACTTCAACTTGCTAACTTTGTACATGTTGTCAGGAAAGACCAATTGCTAGAAAAGGACATCATGTTTGATAAAGTAGAGGCCCAAAGAAAATGAGAGAAATCCTTAATGAGACGGATATTGACACAGTAGTGTCAATGGACCCAAATGTACCAATGATCATGAAGGTAGCCCAAGACTAGGCAATATTTCATTGTTATACATTAGGTCACCATGAGTTGGAGCTGACTTGATGGCAACTACCAACAATGTTATAGTTTTATTGATCTTTTACAGGTCTCAAATTCTTCTTGTTAATAACAACCCCAGAACAGGACTATTAGATGTAGTTCTTTATATATTTTAAAAACAAATACCTAAAATAATAATGGGTAAGAAACTATATATATTCTAAATCTTTCCCCAAAATTTTCAAAAATCTTTGTAATGCAAATATCTTTACCAGGAAAAAAAAGAGAAAAATCTTACGGTGATTTTTCTTTTTTTTTGTTTATCCCAGAATATTCTTTTTTTGTTTCTTCTTCACTGCACTTCAGGCAAAGGCCCACAGAACAAACAGTCCCCCACGAAACAGAAGCACACACGCTATTCCACGACACTGGTTAACAACCCCACAACATATCAACCCTCCAACCCTTCAATCCCCCTTCCTTCTTGGTGAAAATACACACAGCCAAAGACACACCACCTCAAAAACCTCCACATGCACAGCTCAGTGACACCGACCACGCTCCTCGAACTGCGCTGCCACTCCCACCCAAGACGAAGGCCCACAGAACAAAACAGCCTCCCATCCAACAGCTACCACAAATGCTGCCCCACGACAACGGTCAACAATCCCACAACACATCAACAACATCCTCAC